TATGTGTGAATCAACTGTTTTGGTTGTCAGCAAGGCTTCCAGTCAAGAGCTGGTTAAATTGGTAGTAAAATTTGGGGGTGTCATAAGTTAAATGTGGATTTTTGACTGCATGGGATGTCAGTGTCCCTAACTCCCTTGTTATTCAAGGATCAACTTTACCATGAGCTCTCTGAGGGCAGTTCCATGTCTGTTTTTTGCTAGAGCGTATGCTGTGGTCAGCAGAGATCTGTCAAAATGAATCAATGAGTATTCTATCAACATGAAATTTCTGTCCAGAAAGTTAGAAAAGGAATATATCGCAGGGACATGTGACCTGACATTTACTTTCTTTTGCTTGCCTTAGGCCAGCTGACCTCTGTTTCAGTGAAAGAGACTTGTAATTACAGCTTCAGAAAATACAGAATTTCAGCTCTAAATCCTTTACAACAAAGGAAGTCATCACACCATGCACAAAAGAAATTGCCCTGGCTCCGACGTTGTGGTTTGTCTTTTTTTGGAAAGCCAGGCTTGTCTGTTCAAGAGCTCACAACACTTGACCAGCTCTCTCATTTATCTTAACATGTGTATGCTATATTTATTCTCCCTTCACAGATGGGGAAATGAAGCTTGCCGAAAGGCCATATTTAGCTAAGTCTTGATCCTCTGCCTGGTGGGGTCAGTTTAGATAAAACAGAATCCTGAAACTTGATTTTTATCCAACAGTTGAAACCTCCTCCCACATTAAATCTGTTACTCGGGCTGCTCACAAGAGTAAAAAGTGTTAGTTTGAGCATTTTTAACCACGCAACGTGGCGATCTAGTTCAGTCTCTTCTTGCAAAGAGGAAGTGTTGGTTCTTAGTGACAGGGGTAGATCATGGCAGAGCCTGCTCTCAGGGGCTGACCCTTCCACAGCATATTTAAAATTTCTTTCCTTTTTCTATAGTTCATCTAAACAGAAGTTATGATTGGTTAGTTAACCAAAAGGAAGACAGTGATGAAAAAGAAGCCAAAAATCTGATCACTGCTCTCAAATAATTGGTAAAATCTTTGGAAGACTGACAGTACAAATGACAATATATGAAGATGACAGTTGCTAAAGTTACAAGCTCAATCATCAATTGCAGTAATTTTACTGAGAACTAATTAGGCTAGTGATATATAAATGCCTTTTCACAACTGAACTGAAGATTAAAAAAAAGAAACAGAAACAAAATATTTGAAAAGTTTTGGAAAAACTGTTTTGGAAAAACAGTTACCTCTTAGGAATTTATTGCATCTAAAAACAATGACTTCCCCTCCCCCAATTTTCTTTACTCCAACAGTAATGAGAGTTGACAGGCAAGTTCAATAAATTCACCATTGACACATTTTGAACCAAACTTAGCAAGATGCTCCCCAAAGGGGACTCAAACCATCTTCTTTGAAAAATAGTTATTTTTAAGAGAGTAAGGACTGATATTCTTATTTCACAAATTAAATATAAATGAACTAAAAAGCAGTAAAAGGACCACACAAAGGAAATGAATTTTCAGTGACTACTATTACCAGAACTATTGCAACAATGCTGATAGTTGATGCATTACATTTAGGACAAAACACCCATCTTTAGAGCTAGCTGCTACCCATGTGGCCCCTTGACTTCAGGATAGCACCACTCTTTGGGGGGCTGAGTGTTTTGAGGGTCATGCCTGTTACCTGTTTTGAACGTCTCACTCAAACAGATGTTTCACATGGAGATGACCATTGTGCACCGGGAAGTGGCAGAGTAGCTCCTCATATACCACAAGGCACCAGTTGTTGGGCGTGGGGCAGGGGAGCACTGTTGCTCACTGTCTTATATAACTCTTAAAGTAGTCAGCAGCCATTCTAAACTTTAAAATTCTGGAGCTTAGTGTGCAGATTCCTCAAAGCACCAAAAATGGACCATTTTTTGCTTGTCTGATGAAGAATTATTGTGTAATACTCAACTCATATGCCATCTCTTCTGAGTCCTTTCTTAGTGTTCCTTAATTACCACATTTGGACTTGAAAATCTAGTGTTCACACACATTTCTGTTCCTTCCTGGAACTCCCTCAGAGCAATGTATGTGTCTCCCCATCCATCAAGCCCTTCCTTCTTGGGGCTCCTGTATGTGTTTGACACCAGCACTGAGTGTCTTGTCTTCCAGGCTGAGACTTTGAGGTCGCAAAGCTTTAGTGCACAAATGTATCACAGTGCAGTTGCTCATTTGAGCATGGTGCCTTATTTTTTAACAAACTGGTATATTTTGAGAGCTTCACCAATGTTTATAAGGTGTTTTATAGATCACATATAGCCCTGCAAGGCCTACACTGTCCAGTGTAAGTGGTTTTGTTTAAAATATGTACTGTGGATATGTATTTCAAATACGCATGCACATCCACAAAGCGTGTATTTTAAACAATGCACTGAAGTCAGAGGGAGCGCCCAGATCCACATGAAGGGGACACAGTAGAGGCTCCCAGAGGCACTGCTTGCTTGTGACCTGGTACATTTAAGGGGCATCTAGCTGGTTGTTTTTTGCCTCGGCTCCCTGCTTCACCTGAAGATTTTTTTCGACTCAAAGAACATTTCTTTTACAGCCTGCATATTCTTGTCAGGTTGTAAATGTGTGATCTATTTCAAGGATTGTTATCATTGTAGATCAAGGACTCTTGACAAGAATGGACAGCCTAATCACTAAGCTGTTGGAATATATTTTTTAAAAACTAGCTAACTCCTATACTTAGACAGTTGGTTAAGAAGCTAAAGATTTTACTAAGTATTCTAACAACCATTTTGACCAAACTCAACATTGTTTTCTATAGTTTTGATATGAACTAGTTGTCAGGAATATGCTTTTCTCTACTCCTGAGAATGTTCCAGTTAGCATATTGAAATATTTAAGTACCTGCCTTTTGGTTGGAATTAAAATATAATTGATTTGTTAATTAGGAGAACACTAGAGAGTTGACTGTGAGAAGTTCTGATTTTGATGAGTGATTATTTTGAAGTAAGGGCAGTTGTTCTACAATTAACTTTCTTTGTGTCATTCAAGTTAAAATCCATAGCCTCAAATGAAAGATTCTGCATGTTTCACTCACCCCCAAATTCAAATTTTTATATTTAGTTCACTCAAATTATTGCCCAGTGACAGGTTTTATATGATACGGGATACAGTATGCACAGGGGATAATTTATTTTTTGAATTTTCTGTCTATTATTAGACTTCTAATTACTCGGGCTGGATGGAAGTAGAAAGGTCACATTCTTATAATAACTGCCAATTATTTAACTGGAAATTATGAGCACAAATTCATTCTAGATATTTCAGACTTAAGAAGTTACATTTCTCTCCAAGGTGTTCTAAATACACTAGTTTTTGTTTTTTATAACCCCAGTTTTTCACAATTATTCCAACAAAATCTGCAATTTAACAGATATCTACAAATGATTGGTTTAGTTTCCTTTCTCTCATTGAGAAAAGTCAGTATTCAATATCATCATCAAAGGAACCTGCATGACAGACTTGTGTTCTGTAGGATATTTGGATTAATATTATTAAGCATTTCTAGAGGACTTTACATTCACTTTTTTTTTATTACTTGTCATATACTCCTAGAGAAAAAGGGTACATTCTATTTCCCTGATGAGGTAAACGTACTTGAAAAGTAAAATTTTCATTAAAGTATCTAATTTGATTTTCTTTGATAAATCTTTTTGTTACATTTTAACTAGTCTATAGGCTCTTGTGTTCCAAAATGACTAATTAGTACAGTAATAAGATAGCATTCTCTCTTATTAATCTGGAGATTATACTGTCCTCAAGAGATCAGTTTGATTTGTGTATTTTTGATACCACTGTGGAAATTCTTCTCATTAAAGGAGTTTTGTCTTTGTTGTTGGAGTAAAATTAGCAAGCCAGGGCTGGGATACTTCTGATGGGACCCTGCGTGGATTTGCAGAGGAATAGGAAAATCAATTTCCCATGGGATAAAGAAGTTATTTTAAAACCTTGGAATTGGATCTTTTATGTGCCTTGCACTATGCTGAGTGCTTCAGTTGCATTGTTTCATTTAGTCCTCATAATCCCATGAGCTAGCATCCCCATTTCTAATTCTGTGGAAATTGGAAATCTAAATATGGATAGGGAGTGATTTTTAATGAGAATACCTCATTTCCTGGCCATGCCAAGCATAAGTTTGCTCAGGAATATAGAGTTGCTGGGTATAGTGGTAAAGGGTATAGCGGCTGGAATAAAAACTGCCGAGGTTTACTGGCTGACATCCTTTTACAGGTTATTTAACTTCTATGCCTTAGTTTACTCAAGTGGAAAACAGAGATCATGGTTTACGTCATTTAGTTCTTAAACAGTTTAAATAAATGCCACATGGGAGAGAGAACAGTAAGCATTGCAAGCATCAGTATATAAGTTATTACCAGTGACAACACTTACACCATCTAGCAACAGTCAGTTCTTTGTGCAAACTTTTTAGTTAAAAATGTTGCCAGTGACAGCTTTTGTAGTCTCAATGTATTTTCTTAAAAGGTTTCATTGTAGGTGTAAAGATATTGCCATATTTTCACCCCACTGGTGTTCAGAACCAAAAGAAACAACAGCAGAAACAAATGGAATGAATGGAATCATTTTTTTTTTAAAGATTTATTTATTTGTTTATACAAGCACTGGGTACAGTCAGAAGCACGGGAGGGTGAGAGAATTCACCAGAGCCAGAGCGGGGAGCAGAGCAGGCAGAGTGATGAAATACAGTGCTGAGGGGAGCGGCAGGTGGCAGGAGAGGTCTGCACGTCATGTGGGATCCTCGCTGGCAGCCAGGGATCGAACCTGCGCTGCAGAGGCTGCGGGCAGCTTCGTAGCCCAGCACTCAACCGCTGCACCATTGGGGAGGCCCGCAAATGGAATACTCTTGAATTTACTTCTCTGACCCTGTCATCTCATAGACATGTTAGCAAACTGAAGACATGGCAATGGAAACAATGAAGGCTTTCTTTCTTTTTTAGGAAGACTATGATCGTCTGAGGCCTTTATCTTACCCAATGACTGATGTCTTCCTAATATGCTTCTCTGTGGTAAATCCAGCCTCATTTCAGAATGTGAAAGAGGAGTGGGTGCCGGAACTTAAGGAATACGCACCCAATGTCCCCTTTTTACTAATAGGAACTCAGGTATGTCTGATTTTAACCACTTCAGGATGAACTGTGGCTTGTCTTCTTGTGGCTACTCTGACTCTTGGTCCTACAGATTAGCAAATGATTATGTGGCAAATTATAGTAAATTCTGTCACATTTTTGGAAAAAGTAGTGCCCAAAGAAAGCAATTACATTAGTTGGTTTAAAAAATTAAGTTCTTTTATTTAATCTTTTAAAAATATGTATGTGGGAATTAAATGGGACTACACTTTGATTTATCTTGAAAGACTTATAATATTATGGGACATTATTGACCTTTCTTAATTAGATTGATCTCCGAGATGACCCCAAAACTTTAGCAAGACTGAATGATATGAAAGAAAAGCCTATATGTGTGGAACAAGGACAGAAACTAGCAAAAGAGGTAATGGAACATTTACCAAATTTTAAAATAATGTAAAATAAAATAAATGTAAAGAAGCCAAGGTAATAATAGAAGCTAACATTTCTTGTGCATTTACTGTATGCCAGGCACTGTGCCAAGTGCTTTAATGCATTAGCTCATTTCATTCTTGTACTGACTCTGAGGTAGGTTTGACTACCCGCCCCCAAGCTTTACAGAAGAGGAAACAGACCCCCGTCAATGTCAGGTAACTTGCCTGAGGGTCCACAAGTAATAACGGCAGAGATGGGTTTCAGGCAAGGTCTCACTCCAGGGCCTTGACTGTGCCCAGGGCTGGCTCTATGCTATACCACCAGTGTATAAACCATGTGTAGAAAGAGTTATCAACAAAATATCCTGATATTTAAGCCCTTCTTAAACACATAAACATTTGTACTGGACCAAATCAGACTGTCATCAGTTAAGACTCAGGGAGTATGGAGTAGAGGGGCAGGGGATGATGGTTTAAATCTGCAGTTAGAAACAATCAAAGGCTAGGTTTGAAAAGAAATGTTAAATTTTCCTCTAATCTTTTTATGAAGAGGGTGGAAAATATATTCCTTCTACAAAAAGGATGTGTAACTGCGATGCACATATTATCTTTAACTTATATTCTTCCTTGTCCCAAAGCTTGGTCTACTTTTTTCTCCACTTGGCTATAACAGATGTTGTGGACTTTAATAGGACATTTGTGGAGACAGAATCTAATAAGATCTTTCTTAATGTAGAAGAAAACTTTTTGGAGGACAGGCTTCCTGAAAAACAAGATAAATAGCTTTACAAACAAGTTGCTTTAGAAATTCCATGTATTCAATTTTTTAATCTTGGGGCAAGAAGAAATTTCTAAATATAAGAAAGGTATAAGAGTCATAAGTGAAGGTATTGGTGATTTAACTATAAAAATTTAACAGCACAGCAAATGCCAGAAATAAAATTAGAAGTCATGTAACAAACTTGACACGTGTTACAGAAAAATGAATTAGTATCCTTAGTGTATAGGAATTTGTTGCATGAGTTAATAATTTAAATATATATATATATATATATACACCCCCAATAGTAAAATAGTTTAAAATATCAATGGAAAATTCACCCAAAAATGCAGATTGCTGTTCATGACAAAAAATATGTTCAGACTCCTTAGTCAAATGTAAGTTTCATTTCCATGTATAAAATGAGGTATTACTTGTAATAGCCACTGTTCCAAAGAAATGAGCATTCTGTTGTACTGTTGTTGATCATTGCGTAAAATCAATCTTAACAATATGCAAAAAGCTTAAAGCTGTACACACACTTGACCACATAGTTGCATGTATAGGGATCTCTCTCCTAAGAGAATTATAAAGATGTTTTTAAAAGGAGAGGGTGTCCAACTTGCCGAGTTGTTAATAGACGCAAAAAAAAAAAGCCCTGCATGTATTAAAAATTCATATATGTTGAGATGTTCATATTTATGATATAATTTAAGAAAAAAAAAAGTGGTTACAAAACAATATGACCTGTTTCTAGACCTGTCAGCAATATTTGGCACAGTTGGTTCCTTCCTGAAACTGTCATTGCTTGGCTTCCTTGAATCTTTCTCTTAGGGTTTCCCCTTATTTACTTTTTCTCCACCTCCTCACACACTGCCTCTGAATGTTGGAAGACCCAGGGATCAGTACTCAGCTTCTTGGATATGTTTCTTCTTTTTCCATACTCATTCCCACACCTAGGCAAGCTTCCTTCCATCAATCTTGTGGTTTGAATGACCTGATAAAGTTTCCCAAATTTCTCTTTGCTGAACTCTTGATGTCCTTATCCAACTGCTCACTCAACACTTTCATCTGGGTGACTAAACAACATGGAAATGTCTAAAACAGAAATTTCTTTATCTCACCCTTCAAGCCTGTCTTCGAATATCTCAGATCAAAACCTTGAAAATCCCATTTGATCTTTGCCTCCCATACCATACCCCACCAACTCTTCAACAAAACATATTGCTTTACCTTCTATATCCAGAATCCAAAAATTCCTACTAGCATCTCTCTCAGCCTGCTTCAGGCCCCCTTCATCTCTCGTCTGGCTAACTGAACAGATTCTAACCTTTCTTCTGCTGTGCCCCATGTTAATCCGTTCTCAACATGCAGCCAGAGTGTCTTTTAAAATACAGCTCGATCAGATCACTGCTCTGATAAGATTCCTCCAGTGCCTCCCCTGCTCACTGAGAGTAAGTGAAGGCCAGTGTCCTTACTGTGCCTTGCAGACCCCTGCTACCTCTCCTCCTAACTCACTGTACTCCAGGCACATGGCCTCCTTGCTATCCTTCTGTCTTCTTCCTCAGGAACTTTGTATTTTTGCTGTTCCCTCTGTCTAGAATATTCTTCCCTGTGTGGACATTATTCAATCTTTCACTCCTTTCGGGGTTCTGCTCAAATGATTTTCTTGATGAGACCTTGCCTGATCTTATCCCTACTCTCCCTATCTCCATTCCCCATTTTTCTCCAAACCACGTATTGGCTTCTGACATTCTACCTCTGCATTTTTTAGCCCATGGTCTTCTTTTAAAATGTAAAGTTCATGAGAGTAGGATAGGCACTTAATTTTGCTCCTCACTTTCTCATTTGGTAAGAGTGCTCAGCAAATTTTCAGTGAATGAATGAATGAGTCCTCAGAATAGAAACTAGTCTTGAAAGCAGACTGCCTCATGATCCCATCTATTGCCATTTGCCCCTGCTCACTGTCCTGCTTTCCTGTTCCTGGAATGCTCCAAGCTTGCACCTGCATCACTCTCCATCTGTACCTCTATCTGCCTGAGATTCCTGCCCTTAGGTATTCTTCACTGCTCAGATTTCACTTTCCACCCACCACCTCCACTGCTCTCTGCACTGCCCATCCCCCTTTACCTTTCTCCATCACACAAACTGCCTGCCATCTGCTCCACAGACCCTCCTTTGTGTGTCCCTGCCCAAGTAGAACTAAATAAATGTGAGCATCATATTGCAGGAACTTTACTCTTTTCTTCAGTTCCTTGACAAGTCCCCAGCACTTAAAACAGTGCTTGGCATATAGAAGGCCCCACGTAGATATTTGATGAATTTTTCATAGAAAATTTGTATTTTAACATCTATCATGAATATGATTTCATTTTTTTTCATAGTTGTGTTTTATAACTTTTCTTATGATGGTGTGTTTGTGTCATATCAATTATATATTTATGAATTTTTTTCTCCTTCCCAGATAGGAGCATGCTGCTATGTGGAATGTTCAGCTTTAACCCAGAAGGGATTGAAGACTGTTTTTGATGAGGCTATCATAGCCATTTTAACTCCAAAGAAACACACAGTTAAAAAAAGAATAGGATCAAGATGTATAAATTGTTGTTTGATTACGTGAGAAATATCTACAGTGGCCAAGGAAACTGTCCTTTTTTCTCAGAAAGCATATGAAATGCTACAGCTATACCCAGACCTCTTATAATGAAGCAGTTTAAAACTTGAAAAACAAAATCCTGTCCTCCAAATTCTATAAAGTTCATTAAGAATGTTTCTTAAAGATCCAAGAAGCAGTAAACAGCATCTGAAGCCACAATCTATTATAAATACTTTATTTCAACTAGAAGGTACAATCTCTCAGGGGTTTCATAGTTTAAAAAAAGCTACAATCACATCATGTAACTACATAAAAAAACAGTGCTGTAAATGGAACTGCCTGGCTTGGACCATACACATTTCTGCACAGTCTTTATGGAATCCGCACAAAGAAATATCTTCTCCCTTTGCTCCAATTAATTGTTCTTGTATGTAAGTTGCTTTCTATTCCAGTATATCCAGAGTGGTGAAATAACAAGACCAGCCACGTAGCCAAAGGTCGCTCCAAGCGTACAGGAGATGGGCCATACCTGAGGAGAGAATGTATGAGATCAAAAAGGAACAAATGTTTTCTGACTACTTGAGCACAAGTTAAGTGTAACCTAACTATTTCTATATTAAAGCTTCATGTGCTTTCTTAAAGAATGCCAAAAGTGTAATAAGGTCATAACTGCATTTTTATGAACACTGAAAATGCACACATTTTAGTTAATGTGTATTCAACTGTTGTAATAAGGCTTCTTGTAGATTTAGTTTAATGCTCCCCAGACTGCATGAGATACATGCTAAAATTACAAATTAAAATTTTGGGTCAGACTCCGCCATAACCCTGGATTCAATTTAGCCCTCTGAACTAGTTGGTAATTTTTCTTTAATTTCCACATTGGCTTGTATCTAATGAAATGACAAGTATATATGATGACCAAACCACAAGGAACTTTTTTTAAATTGTGCTAAAGAGAAAAGACCTAGAATTCAAGCATGCCACGTGGAATTTATAACAAAGCAAGTGCTCCCATAATGAAATGCCACCTTTCAGATAGATATTGGAACCACAGTAGAAGGTATAGATAGAACTACAACGCATGTAGGCACCCAGAGTGTAAGTTAAAATACTGGCTTCCAAATACCCATTTTCTCCAGCAATGTTACATTTAACAATATTACATCAAGCCAGAAGTAAATGATGTTGAGATATTTCATCCATGAGAGTGCAAGTTGGTCCCTAGGTGAAAGGGTCTGCTTTAAAAAAATGGAGACAAAATTTTCATGTTCATCTGTGAAGCTTATTTTGTATACTGGAACCAACTGTAATCTCTGGGAGAACAGGCCATAGAACTGTGTTAGACAGGAACCATCTTAATTACAATTAAGCTTCTTTGTTTGGTCTGCTGTGGATCTGCCTTATTCCACCTACCATGCAATGGACAATAGTATTAGACAAAGTTTCAGTGTGAACAAACTAACACAGTTCAGAGAAGCATAATCTAATCCATTCCCACCCCCCCAACCCTGCCGCCCCTGCCTTTCCTACATTTAAAGTTGCTATTGCCTAAATTATGATACCTTTATGTCTTTGGTGAGTTTGTTAATTTCCATGACTACAGCTATGTCTATTGCACAGATTGGGTAATGAAACACTAAACTTTTATACTTGAAAATGACAGCCTTAAATGATCATATATCAGTCACAAATCTAGGATGTACTGTCTTGTATGTGAGCTTTGTAGAGTTTTTTTTTAAATACACACATCATCTTCCCCACTGACGAGTGGAGAGTCTACTGAATAACCAGACAGGAGTTTCTCTCTGGGGTGAACACTGGGGTCTTCTTTCTCCCAAGAAGTGGTGGTTCACATAAAGTACCATGGCCTTATGTATGCTTAAATGGGATCTTATGTAACCTTTTCAATTAATTTTGGTCTGCTATTTTTAGACAGAATTGGAAAAAAACTGTATAAACCAACTAGCATATTAGTTAATTGTCCAACACATGGTAAAAAATAATTAAGACAGTAAAGTATTATACATTTCCAACTTGCCTTTGGGGATTTGATGGGTTTTGGTTTTGTTTTTGTTTTTTCCCCTCTCAAATTCACATCTATGAAACTCTTCACACTTGGTTTGCTAATTAAAGTTAAAATCTAGAATTTGTCTTGCCCTAAGAGGAATGGACTAGGATTCTGTAACACAAACTCTGGTGTCACCTCTCTGTGTTGTCTGGGCCTTGTTTACTCCTCTACAAATATGAGAGGCAGAACAGATCAAACACCTCCCCCACTTATCAGCTGATTCTCTTCTTCTTCACCATAATCATTGTTGGACATTACCTTTACAGCTTCACATTCTTAAGATAGTAAAAATCATGTATATAGATCACTAGAACTCTAAGCGAAGATGATTGCATCATCTGAACCTGAGGTGCCTTAGGTACTCTATTGACCTTGATGGGGTTTAGAGTTTCCCATTGCTTATTAAGAGCCTTTTTGTTGCTTTGGTTCTTTAGTATTTCCTTTTGCAAAATACTTCTTACCCTTTAACTAAAAACCAAAGATTTCTATTCATATGCAGATTGTAGAAAAACTGCCTTATTTTCAGAAGCATGTCTTCATTAAAAGATTTTAATAGGAATTCTCTAGATGAATTACTGAAACTAGTTCAAAGTAGTGAAATGTCGGTGAAACAAAATACTAAAAAATATCTTATTGACATGAATTTTGCTAGTGAATGCAAATACACTGCTTTAAATATCAGGTCATGTATGGACTGAAAAGAAACTTAATTTTTCTGCACATAATTTCTAAATTTCTTAAAAATAATTTTAGGGGCTCTCTGAAATTTTATTTAATATTTGCTAATATATACCCTTATGCTATCTCTAAAGGTACATTTTAGGTTAGCCCATGTTGAATTATATTTCTAGTAGGTAGAATCTGAATTAATGTATTTATTATTAATTATCTTAGTTACTTGAGGTATTGCTTCCATTTGACTTTTAATTATTAATTTTAAGTACCAAATTACCTGTTTGTTGGATGTTGCTTTTTAAGTGCTTGTTATTTTAACAGTGTCCCACCTTAACACATGGGGTTACAAATAAAATAATATGCAGTTTACTATTTCTGTAAAGCAGTGAACTTCTTCCCTTAGCAGTTTATAACACCCTAAGGAAACATTTGGAATGACACTCTTTCCTGTTTCTCCTGCTGTGAGTCTCCTCATCATTGGTCAAGTGTGAGCACCTGCACTTTGTTAAAAAGCTGCACTGTCAAGTGTAAGGAGAAAAACAATCCCTCACACACCCCAGCAAAATTTCAATTTGGGTCACCAAATTCTGTTTAAATTCGTTTGTAATTTCAGTATGGCTTTTTATTTCCAAGCACATACAGACACATTCACACACACATTCTTTTAACAGCTACCATACTTCTCCTCCAGTGGAATGCCAAAAGTGAAATGATGGTTTAAACGTTTTGTCTAATGAGGGATTAAGGCTTGGCATCCTTGCTATTATTGAATGTCTCAAGAACTCATTGCTATTAGCAAATTAAAGTGTTGGACTGCTTTGAAGACTGTTTGCTAGTGATGGATCAGGGTCTCCCATTTGACTTTCCTGAAATAAATAGTCCTTAATTATGACACTTTTTATGTTTTTTAAAGAGAATGTCTTTACATAAGGCAACTCTCCTGGTTTTTGTAGACCAAGATAGGAGAATGGCAACTGAAGCAGTTGAAGGGAGTCAGGGAAGTTGCCTACTAATAATCTTTCCTCAATTTCCTACTAACCTCATAACTGCTTTAAAAAAATTAAAACTACACTATGGCAACAGAATTTTTATTGACTCATCAAACAATCCTAGCTTAATCACGTATTTTCTTAATGAGATCTTAAAGTTTTCCATTTGAAACAATTTCCTTGATTCACTACAGATATGTTCCTATTTAACATCATTCATGCCACAAATAGAATTAAAAAACAAAAACAAACCATTGTATCATCTATTGAACAGACAATTCAGCTGCATCGCTATAAATATTTCTCCAAATTATGGTAATCTGAGATTGCTATATATACTTATCTTGCTTTGTTTATGGAAAATAGAAAATGCAGAACAAAGATATTCATGTAAAAGAAGTGTTTGCCACAAGTATTTGCCACCAAAATGACTATCTTTTCATCCAGTTTTTTATAAATTTAATTTTTTTGAACAATAACCACAAGAAAAAATCCTGCTGCATAACAAACTATAATACAAGTGGGTAAAATTAAGATTACTGTTAAAAAGAGAAACCTATTTTTAAAAATGAATAGCTACATTGTGTGAAAAAGTATCTTGCACAGAGTACTATTATCCTTTCTCTAAATCAAATGACTCCTTTTGTATTTTTCATCACTTAAAACCAAAAAAGACCAGTGTTCTCTTAAAATAATCACCATTAACAAAGGCCTAATATAGTCTGGATAGATGGTACTGACAATAAGTTATTTTTCTTTCAGATATAAACAAGAAATTCCTAATATAGGTATGTTTGGTATGTTTTGTATGATTCTAAACAAATCAATACTGTTGTTGGATGAAAGACATTTGAGAGATATACAACTTATTTCTATCCAAAGACCCAGTGTTCTCTCTAATCAGGCAATCTACAAAATTCTTTGCCTACATTTAGGAAAGAAAAAATGTACTGGTATGTATATATTTATGTAGTGTTTGATTTTTTTCGAAGCATTTCTAAATAGTTGAGAATAGTAGTTACAGACAGTGATTTTTGTATGAGACTGGATTTGCGTCTGGGCTCTGCCATTCATTAAATACGTGATGCTGAGAAAGTCACCTAACCTTTCTGTGCCTTGGTTTCTCTTCTGCAAAATGAGAATCATCCTAAAATTCACCTGTTGGGATAGCTGTACTAATTAAATGAGATAATGAACTATATGGTACCTTTAACCATATCTGGTACATAGTGTTGTACAAGTGATGAATACATGTGAGCTATGGTTGATAGTAATCTTTTAGGTGATCATATGTGCTAACAGACACCTACGAAGTAAGATTGCACTACAATTTAGAGTACCATCATTTCCCCAAATATGACATCTCTAAAGCTGCTCCTATTTAAAAGAAAAATCTTGCTCAAATTTTAAGTACTTTAAAGATATTTTAACACTGTTTATATGTGCTTTTATGGGGGGAATTAAGAGGGGAGAGAGAGGGAGGAAGGGGGAGGGAGGGAGAGAGAAGGAGAGAGAGAAAGGGAGAAAGAGGGAGAGAGAGAGAGAGAGAAAGAGAAAGAGACACTGAAGCCCATCTGTGAACTCCTGATTAAAAATCTCAGTACACTGTATCACTCCATTCTAACACATATTTTTATTAACTGCTCTAGTTGGCTAAAGAAATACAATGACCCTTTATACTTAGTTTCAGAATTTTAAGGATCATTGTCAGTGCTGTAAGATAGCATTTGCTGTTATGTGATTTCAAGACAGCTAACCACATCTAGCTTAAGTATAATATGCACAATATTATTTAGGTTCCTTTAATGTGCAAGTAGATGTTAAAATTTATATTTTCATGAAAATGATATCCACAAGTTTCTGATACTCCACATTAATAGCTAGTTTGGATGTCACTAATAGAAGGTGCTGTAGTTTTCCTAAAATAATGACTAAGTATTTGAAATTAGATAATGGTGACTGCTTATAAAATTAGTTTAAAGTAGTCAAAGTCTAAAAATAATTATACTAAAACATTAGGCTACTTAAAAAAAAATTTCCATATTTTATGTGAGGGCTTTACTTTGTTTATCCAGGAAGCAGCTTGCAGCAATAGAAATAGCTGAGCTGTGGGGTCAGTGCAGCCACTTACTGGCCCTATAACCTTGGCCAGGTCACTTAACATCTGAGCCTCAGTTTCCCAAAATGCAAAAACAGGAACAATAGTACCTCTTGTACTTAAAATACGGGGTGGTCCTATTAAATGAATAGTTTGGAATCTGTCATGAAAACTGTAAAGTGCCAATGCATCCTATCATTTTGTAGGGTACTTTAACCTGAAAAAACTAAATTTAACATTGTTGTATTTCTTAAGTAATGATACTGCTAGGTAATAATTAGAACCTGCTATTTAAAAAAATAATAAAGTAATTGGTGAGCAATGTTAGACTGTGCTGTAGGAATTATTCCTTTACCATTGCAATGTAATCATCTTTTAATTCACGCCATTCTTCACACGAAACATCTGGGAAGTATAAAGCTTACAAGAGAAGACTCTTAGGAGTTATTCAACAAACTGCATTATAGCCCATCATAAGGAGTCTCACCTTAGAAATAGAAAGGTGATTCCTGGCAAAGTGATAGAATCATTTTTCACAAATCTTAAGAAGCAGAGTAAGTAGAGATAATGGTTTCAAAGCAAACACTGGTAGACATTTTTAAGAGTCTAGGATAAACGACTTCATTCAAAACCATTAAGTCCCTATTATAAACCAAGCAGTTATGGTGCAAGCTAAGATTAAAGTATCCACTTTTGGATAAATTTTAAAAACAAAATCTTAAAAATGTGTTTTGCAATATCAATTTTTTGAGAAGTGCTGACGCCAATATAGGGAAACTAACCTATTGGCACATCAAAACAACTAGAAACACATTCACAACCATCATGATTACTGGCTCTTTCGGATAAGAAAGGAAGATAAAACTCAAGGAGCTAGTGCTTCATTCCCTACAAGCTACTTTTTAATAAGTTTTTTTTTAATTGTGTTTATCACAAATATGCAATTACTTGCCTGACAGAATTTATCTTTCAAAATCGGTGACGTTTCTTCCGGGTATAAATGATCATTTATAGTCCTCTAAATTTGGTTGTAAGTGATGTATTAAAGCAAATGCTGTTGTTTGACATAGGAAAACATGTACTGATGAATCCACTCATTCTGGATACATTTCTTTAGTCGTAAATCTGCACTGGTTTGTGTATACTCTACCACTCTCCTATGACTAAGAACACAGATTTAGGAAGAGCTATTTGGGGAAAGATGTGTAGTCTCCAGTCTGGAACTTCTTGTCAAAGTGGTGCTAAATGGTATCTGCCAAGATCATGGAAATGAGTCAACTTGGCCAGCACTGTTCTCTCACATGAAAATCCAGCCAGCACAGTATTATCAACGTGATTACCCTAATGAACCCCCATTTTTTTTTTAAAGCAGGTTTTTTTTTTTTTAATTTTTATTTATTTATACAAGCACTGGGTACAGTCAGAAGTACGGGAAGGTGAGAGAATTCACCAGAGCCAGAGTGGGGAGCAGAGCAGGCAGAAGGACCAAAATACACTGCTGAGGGGAGCAGCGGGCAGGAGGAGAGGTCTGCGCACCACGTGGGACCCTTCTCTGGTGGCCGGGGCAGCCGGGGATTGAACCTGCGCTGCAGAGGCTGCGGCCAGCTTCGCAACCCAGCGCTCAACCACTGTGCCACCAGGGAGGCCCTAATGAACCCCCATTTTAAATCCAAACCACTTTTTGTCAGTTAAATACTACAGTTTTCCCCCACCCCCCCATGCTTGAAATATAAATTGTGTTCATATAAATCAGTATTTTATTTGGGTTTAAAACACTATGTATACAGAAATGCCAGTTAATGAAAAATCATGCAACTCTTCAATTAATTAAATACATAATTTTAATTTTATCCTTCACTCTAACATTTGTAGTAATTTATTTAGTTATAATACATCTCTCTAGTTTTAATTTATGAAAAAATTCTTTGTGGCAGCTGTGACTTTAGAAGTAAATATGTATCACAAATATGGAAATTTTAACTCTATAAAACTAGAGAAAACAAAAAAGGAAATTAATACTTCATTTATCTGGTATCTGAGGAGAATAAGTACAAATGTCTTAAAAAATCTTATTTTAGACAATTACAATCTTGCTTTTTAACTTTATATGCAATAAGTAGGTTTGGAAGAGATTTCATTATCTGGTTTAGTTTAGGAGATAGTCAGGTGAAGTGAGGGTTTCCTAGGCACAAAAACATTGCATATTGGCTTCTAAAACTCTTCTACAAATGTAGTACACTTTATGGCACAAAATATGTTCTCCACCAGAGGGGTTATGGCATTTAAATAAAATTCTTATGTGGGGGAAGAAATGTAGTAAAATAACTACTCAAGGTTTTCCAAAGAGAGCTAAGGTCTGGTCATTTTTTTAAAAAAGAGAAAATCTGTGTTTAGTGTTTTCAGCAATGAAGAGATAGTTGGTGTCGAGAGGTGCTGGTTTGGACACTGTCTTCCTCATATGAGCCAAGCAATTCAAGCAAATATGTTGACCTCCTCCCCACACTTTGACTTTTTGTAAAAATGGGGATGAAACCTAGCTTGCCCTACAGTTGTCAAGGTTAATGTACTGGTATGACAGTCCCAAGCCCTATCGTTCAACATATATAGAGTGACCTACACAGGTTCAATAATTTTCTATTTATTGCCCTCGAAATGACAGGCAGGAAAAAAAAAAAAGTGAAATCCAAATACCCTGAACATGTAAATACCAAAAAATCACAAAGATGAATGAATGATCTACTCTAGCAACTAAAAGATTGCTGAACAAAACAAACAACGCTATGACAATTGAAAACCAATGAAATTTGCATTTTTAATGCTAAAGATATTAAACTATTTCTTTTTTTTAGGTCACAAATGTCTGTAACATCAATTAAGTAGTAACTACATGTAAGGTGCTGAACTAAGTACTTTAGAAGGATTATTTCATTTATTCCCTACTAGCAAATAGCAGAGCCCAGTAATCTGATGCCAGCACTCTTAATTGCCATGTTCTCTATCTACCTATTAATAAAACATGTGCATTTAAAATTTTCATGGCCAATTTCCTTTACTCAGAATACCCAACAACATTTCTTAATCTCCCATTAACCTTTATTATGACATGAAATACTAACCCATTTTTGATAAAGCAAAGAATAAAGGCATTTTCCAGCTGAAAAGCTCATAATTACCTATTCTGTACAATACTTAGAGCATATTAAATCTGTACCTGAATCTAAATTATTGTTATCAAATAGCTAAAATTCAGTCCTGGGTAATATATTTACACAGAACATGTGTGTATGTGTGTGTGTGTGTATACTACACACATATTTTGTACAAACATTTATTTTATTGTTTTGAGTAGCTGAAACCAACCTGCCATGGTCTTTCCCAGTCGAGTGGAATAGGAAAGGCTCCAAGCCACGATCCTATAAAACTAGAAATTGTAGTGATCTGGAGACTATTTTCCCAAATGGATGTAACACTGTAAAACAAACATGTAAATCATTGGTGTCTTATACTTAACTGCTAGAGAATCAAACAACTAGTAGCACAAATGAACACTATACCTATATTTTCTGTTCATTTCAAATAAGCATCTCAAATTGACATATATTACCATGAACTACTAACAATCAATGGGTAAGGTGCTTCTTAGTTGGAAAGGTAATATACCCATATAATCAAAGTCAAACAGTATAAAAGAAAACAGTCTTCCCCCACCCTTATCAACTCCAGTTCCTTTCTCTAAAAGTACCTGCTAGTAACAACTTACTACATATCCATCCAGAAATATTTTATGTGTGCATATACACATAAAACAATTTTGTTAAGAAGGTTCTAGGTACTTTTGCATATATATGCATATATCTGTCAAAACAAAATTCAAATGCATCATATTATAAACCCAGTTTTTCTTGTTTCAAAGTTTGTCAATAGCTTTACTAGTCCTCTGTTATATGGTGGTAGCATCATTTATTCAACTTATCTTTTTATGGCACATTTTATTTATACAAATCAACTCTATTTGATAGGGAAGGGATAGAGAATGAAAAAAAAATTTCAAAACACCCAGTGATTTTGCCTACCATTGCTATTTAAGTGCATATCATAGAGTGTAAAGGTGGAGTGACGTATTCTGCCATTCTCTTAGTAGGTCTTAATGTCAACCTGTCCCTTATCATGTGCCCATTTAGTCTCATCATGGATCATGAGTCTGGCTACAGTAAAGTAAAACCCCACCAGTAGGTTTCAAATATTCATGTCTTTTTTTTTTTTTAAAGATTTATTTTTATTTATTTATACAAGCACTGGGTACAGTCAGAAGCGCGGGAGGGTGAGAGAATTCACCAGAGCCAGAGTGGGGAGCAGAGTAGGCAGACTAAAGTACACTGCTGAGGGGAGCAGCGGGTGGCAGAAGAGGTCTGCGCACCATGTGGGACCCTCCTCTGGTGGCCAGGGAGCAGCCGGGGATTGAACTGGCTCTGCAGAGGCTGTGGGCAGCTTGTCAACCCAGTGCTCAACCGCTGTGCCACCGGGGAAGCCCAAATATTCATGTCTTTTTAAGTGTTTGGTGGAGTTATGAAGTGACAGAGCTAGAAAGAAGTAGTTTCTTCCAATTAGTGTGGTGAAAAGAGGTAAACATTTATTTTGTTAGATGATTTTTTTTCCATATATATATAGGTCAACTGCTGTACAAAAAATGTACAGTGAATTTAAGTCCCAAGGACAAGTCAGTTCATAACCAATTCCTCAATAATTCTCTCCCTCCAACCCCCCCACAACCCCCACAACATGTGAAAGAGCTTCAGTTGTCTACTGAGAACTGGGACTGGGAAAAGGTTGGAGTCAATTACTATATATACAAATTTACATTATTTCCTGGGCTTTATTGTTCTTTTTTATATTATCTAATACCTATTAATTAGCAAGTCAATTTCTTCAATTAGTATTCAACATAAGAGAGATATGTTCCAATCCTGGAGGAAAAAAAGAAAAACTCTAGCAGTTTGAACATAATTGCCTCTTCAGGCAAGTTAAAGGGCTTTCTAGGGTAATATTTTACTCTATGTAGCTGATAAATTATCTAGTTTTCACTTAATAAACAACTTTTTTTAATTTATTTTTATTTATATCTTTTACATCATTGTGTATTCCCTTTAAAATTCCCACTACCAATTCACCCGTGAACTATCACCATAGTCCATTGTGCTCTTCTCTCCCATTTTTGATCACTTTTCCTCCCCCTCCCTCACAGAATGTCTCTGATTTATGGTTGCCTGCTAATTTTATTGCTTTATTATTATTATTATTGTTTTTTTTTTTCTTGATCCCTTACTTGGTTCCCCTATAAGTGAAACCATTCGATATTTTTGTCTTTCTGGCTTATTTAGCTAAGCATGATCCCTCCCTTCTAGGTCCATCTATGTTGCTGTGAATGGTGTGAGTTAATAAACAACTTTTTAGATCAACTGTATATAAACTGATGTGCCTAGAAACATACTACTTTCTGCTAGGAAGAGTTTGCTTTTTCCATTTTATGAAAGAGGAAGAAATTCAGCTAGATAAGTGGCATCTGATTTTGAAGAACTGGAGAAAGCTACATATCAGGCAAAACTCATATAAAATTGGTTGAGGTGGAATAAGAAGAATGAGAAATGAAAAATGGAAAAGTATGCCAGAGCTAGGATTTTTAAAAAAATAACAGATTTACTGAGTATAGTAAAAACTTTTCCCCATAGTACTTCTCAACCAAACAATTCACTCACTCAAAGAATGCTAATTCAGGGGCCTCCCTGGTGGCACAGGTGGTTGAGCCCAGCACTCTGAAGCTGTTCGCAGCCTCTGCAGTGCTGGCTGCGGAGCAACCCACATGGCACGGCAGACCTCTCCTGTCTCGCCCGCTGCTCCCCACAGCAGTGTATTTTGGTCAGTCTGCCTGTTCTGTTCCCTTCTCTGTCTCTGGTGAATCCTCTCACCCTCCCGCATATCTGGCCTGTACCCCGGTTCTTGTATAAATAAAATAAAAAGAAACCTTAAAAAAATACGAATTCAGTATTTTTTAATATAATTACAGAGTTGTACAACCATTACCCCAAAATGAATCCCTTAACCCACTAGTAGTCTTTCCCTATTTCCTCTCCCAGCCTAGGCAACCACTGATACACTTCCTTCTTTACAGATTTGCCTATCTTGTACATTTCATATATAAATGAAAACATACAATCTTTTGTGACTGACTTCTTTCACTTAGTGTAAAGTTTTCAAAGCAAAAATACTTGTATGGATATGCAAGTATTGTGTGGACAATAACTGTATAAACATAATATTGTATGGACATAACCACATTTTGTTTTCTTCATTCATCAGTTTGATGGACATTTGTGTTGATGTACCTGTTGGCTAATGCTATTATAAACATCAGTGTACAAGTTTTGTATGAATATATGTTCTCATTTTCTTGGGGATATATTAGGAATAGAATTGCTGGGTCATATGATAACTATGTTTAACCTTGAGAAACTGTTTTTAAAAGCAGTTTAACTTTTTATACCCCCACTGTATTCCCAGTGTATGAGGAGTCCAATTTTTTCACATCCTCACTACCACCTTTACTATTGATTATAGCAATCTTAGTAAGTATGAAGTGATAGCTCATTATGGTAAAATTTAGTTAAGATTTTAGAAAAGCCTTAAAAGTTAAGCTGAAGGAGTCACTGAATGTTTTAGATCAAGTCAACAATATCAGAACTATGTTTTAATAAGATTTATGTACATAGCTTACCTAACCTCTAAGCTCCAAATATCTTGGGCAAAGGGGCAAGATCCATGTCTTCACATTTTTCATTGTTACAGCACACTTGTGACTATTTTAAATTTTTAAAATAAAAAAGTACAAACATTGAAATGTCTGTTTGATGTATCCGAAAGTATTTATGATATTAATATAAAAAATATAGAAAAAAATGGAACTAAGACCTAGTCTTAAAAAACAGAAGTCTGTAGCCGGTTTTAAATTAACTACATATATCAAAATATATAAAATCCTTTAATGTCAAATATTACAACTAGACTAAGAATCCCTCCCCCCCATTCCTCCCCACTCATTTCTGCCCCTGAAGCAGCCACCTTCAACTCTTCACTGTACCACAAATTTGAGAGAACATGTTCTGTATAGATTTTTCAAGATTTCATTACTTTTTGCTTCCTACAATGGAAGAACAGATTTACCTATTTTGTATACTGCATAAATGGAAACATACAGTAGCACTCTTCACCCACAAGCCTCTTGTCCCCACATACATCATTGCCTCTTCAATGGTAACATCTACTCTAGGCTGAAACAGCAGCACAGTATCAACATTATGATGACCGTGAAAATATTTATCACAAATCATTTTGCCTCAGAATTTTGAAGTCATTGTTCCATTTTTTCCTAAGCCTGGCAGTGCTATTCTGGCACCCAGTCCTCTGTAGGTAACACTTTCTCCCACCTGCCTCTGGGAGCTTTAGTCATTCCTTTAAGTTATCTAAAAGTTCACAATAATGGATCTTAGAGTGGGTGTTTTTTCATTCATTTTGCTGAAAAAAGATGAATCTTCTTAATCTAGAATCTCAGGTCTTTTAGTTCTTGAAGTTTTATTTTAAAACTTGCTTTTTCTGCTCAGAATATTATTTTGAATTAATCTTAATTTTCTTATATTTAACTCATTTTCCTTATCTTTACCTTTTGACTGATCTTTTCAACTTTGTCTCTACTTCTGTTGAATTTTTCTATCACATTTTTAATTCCCAAGAACTTTCTTTTTCTCTGAATTTTCATTTTGATTGCTTCTTGTTCATGTTTGATGGATGTAAGAAAGATGCTTTTGAAAGTTATCTTTTGGTGGTCTTTGTGTTGTTTTCTTTGTGTTGTTTTTATTTTAAGAATTTCACTTTAGAGGTGTTCTTCAAATATCTAGTGATTCTTCATTTCTCATTCCACTTAAAACACTACATATGAACTATACAAAAACAGGGTATATTGCTGGTTGCCTGGGCTGGGGTGTGAATGGTAAAGGAGGATGGGAATGAAGGATGACGGATGGTAGTTTTTTTGGAGAGTGATAATATGTTCTAAAATTAAATTGTCATGATGGCTATAAAACTGTATATTAAAAACCACTGAATTGCACACTTCAAATGGATAAATTTCATGGTATGTAGTTATATCTCAATAAAGCTATTTTTAAAACGACAATAAAGTGAAACACTAAATAGCTGACTGAATGTTCACTGTACATGAGTAGTGTAATTTAATTGTAGGTGTCACTGCAGGCATTGGGGACAACTGCCCTTTTAGGACCCAACCTCTATATCAACAGGTAATCTGAATTTAAGTCCCAGTTCTACCTCTTACTGTTATAGGACCTGGGCATATAATTTAACCTGTCTGCTTGCCAATATCTTCATATAGAAAATGGTGAAAACAGAGGTACATCACCAGATTGCTGTGAGAATTAAATGCTAAAATATACACGAAAAATACCTAAGTTATTAATGTAGTTTTTGCATAATGTATTCCTGCCATGCCCTATGTGAAGGTAAATAAAATGTTTATAGTATAAGTTGATTATTTTTAGCAACTGAACTGTTCTCTTGCTGTACATTAGAAATTTTAGAAGGATATTTTTGCAGTCTACTGAAGTTTAGGTGGTATCTGAAAATCTAACAGCTTCTTGATACAGGTCTAATTCTCAATAATCAAAAATAAATTATTAGCAAAATCTAACTCATTGAAATTTTTCATTTTAGGTAAGCAATATATTAAAAAGGTTCAAGTTTCAAAAGATACCAAAGGGGATAGCAAAGTGGAACGTTTTCTTACCTTTTCTCCTAGCTTCTCATAGCTCCTCTCACAACCAATGCTTTATCAGTTTCTATGTATCCTCCCAAAGATATTTGGGTAAATCTCTTCTCTCCTGCCAACTCTTTACATAAATTGTAACACCCGGGGCCTCCCTGGTGGCTCAGCAGTTGAGTGCTGGGTTGCGAAGCTGCCCGCAGCCTCTGCAGCGCCAGTTATATCCCTGGCCACCAGGTGAGGGTCCCACATGGTGCGCAGACCTCTCCTGCCGCCCGCTGCTCGCCTCAGCAGTGTACTTCGTCAGTCTGCCTGCTCTGCTCTCCCCTTGGCTCTGGTGAATCCTTTCACCCTCCCATGCTTCTGACTGTACCCAGTACTTGTATAAATAAATAAATAAATCTTTAAAAAAAAATTGTAACACCCTACACATTTTTACACCTTGCTTTATTCTACTTAACAGCATAAAGAGTTGGTAGGGTTTTGTTTTCGTTTTTTTTTTTTTTTAAGAGATTGTATAGTATTCCATGTTGTGGATTAAATTTAACTTAATCCATTCCTTGTTAAAGAATATTTAGGCTATTTTTAAAGTTGTAATGAGTAATCTTATACAGTCAGCCTATCGTGTACAAATATGTCTATGGAATGAAATCCCATAGGAGGGATTGCTAGGTCAAAAATGAGTATTTGTAATTTTATGATAATAACAAACCTCATCATAGAGTTAGAACCAATTTACATTCTTACTGGCATTTACTTCCCCAAACTCTTTTCATTATGTATTATCAATTTATGTATTTTTATCAGTCTGTTAGCTGGAAATTGGTTTTTTCCCATCCTATGATTTTTTAGTTTTACTTATATTATAGAACCTTCTGAGAAGGGACAAAAAATGATATGGTATGAAAATAAGGTGACAGATTTATTCTACAAATCTCAGAAGATTCAAAAGGTAAATTTTGTAATAACTTTTTTAACCCAAGAGAAAATAGATGTTACTACAAACATAGGTTAAAAGTAGAAATAGGGTCAAGACAGGTTCAGAAAATATATACATATTAAATTTATGGTAAGTTACCATGACAAACTCTAGTTTCTCTTATTATGTTTGACATTTTTTACTTTTTAAAAATTCTAGGAATTTATATATATAAAGTCCAAAGCTTATTTTCAATACTCAAATTTGTTCTAATTTGATTGCTATTTTAGGGAACAAGATGAGCAATATAGTCTAGAAACACTAAGTAAACACACAAAAAACTGTACCCAGTTGCACTGAGCAGCATATAAATACATAAAACATGCCCACCCCTCAAACATCTACCAGCTAATCAAGACAGGGTAGGACTAAGAGAAAGCTAGAAGAAAGGAAAAAAGCAGCTAGGAGAAAAGGTAACGGATATCCATATAGGTGAATGGACTAAGAATGAAGAGCACAAAAATAAAATAATGTATTTAAGATCACATGCAGGGTGACAAAATCACTCAAAGGGGGTAAATAACCTTTCAACAAATGGTACTGGGTACATGTTTTGCCACATGTGGAACAATGAAGTTGGGTCTTTACCAAACACCTATAAAAACTAATAAAAATGGGTTGATGACCAAACGTTAAGAGCTAAAAATATAAAACTCTTAGATGAGCTAACTCTTCATAACCATGAACTAACTAACTTAGATGAATTAACTAACTCTTAATGGATTTGGCATTGGATTCTTAGATATCACCCTAAAAGCACAAACAACAACAACAAAATTGGATTTTACCAAAATTAAAATCTCTTGTGCTTAAAAGAACATTATCAAGGAAATGAAAGATAATCCACAAAAAAGGAGAAAATATTCACAGATCATGTATCTGATAAGGGACTTTCCCCTTATCTGACCTGACCCTAGAATATATAAAGAACTGTTCCCACTTAATGTTAAAAGGACAAATAGCTCAATTAAGAAATGAGCAAAGGAGGGCCTCCCTGGTGGCAGAAGGGGTTAAGCACAGCACTGTGAAGCTATCCACAGCCACTGCAGCACAAGTTCAATCCCCTGGCTGGCCTGGAAGCTACCCACATGGCTCAGCAGACCTACCCACGTGGCCCAGCAGACTGTCTTCTCTCTCCTGTCTCGCCCGCTGCTCCCCTCAGCAGTGTATTTCAGTCAGTCTGCCTTTTCTGTTCCCCACTCTGTCTCTGGTGAATCCTCTCACCCTCCTGCCCCCACCCCTCTGGCATCTATCCCAGTTCCTGTATGCATAAATAAATAAATCTTAAAAAAAAATTTAACTATGCTAAAAATCACATGGCTGCTAAGGAAATAAAATCCTGTAAAATCTGTATTTGATGTCTTACCACAAAAGAGGCTAAATAAGAAATTATGGTTGTTACACTAAACATTTTCAGATTATAGACCCCGATCATACATTATAAGATGTTATGGAGGCAATTTTATCTGCAGCAATTTTATCACAGTGACAAATGATCCTTGAGGAGTGGTTTTCAGAGCTCTCTTTTGGTAACAAAACTTTCTTTCAAAAACAAAAGACCAAGTGGAATTCTTTCACCATACAGATAAAAAGCAGAGCTGATCTTGCTAAAGTGGAGGGAAGGGCCTATAGTTCTGCCTACTTGGGTTCCTCTTCCCTGTCCCAGTGTCCTCAACTGAAAGTGGGACTTGCGACATCTCTAAGAAACACACATTGCTGAGAAACACTCATAGAACAATTGACAAGTTCTGTGAATATTCTATTGCGTTTTTTAAAATTTAATTTTTAAAAAATCACTAAAAATTCAATTAAAAAAATTAAAACTTACCCATTTCTACTGAAAACTCTTAGCCACGCCTTGATATTTGGTCCCAACAAACACAAACAAGGTACAGTAGTAAAAGTAGACAGAACAACTGCAAATAAAAATGTTTCCAAAACCAACCTAGAAAAAAAGAACTTTATTAATTTTTAAAAGGCACATGTACAAACACATAATCTTTGTCAACATAAAAATATTTTTTATAATTTACTTTGAAAGTAACAAAAATGATGACTATAAATTTACTACTGAAATGCAAACTATGAAAAGCAGTCTAGCAAATATTTAGTTTTAATGATACACTTCAGAAGTGTTAAATACCCTGACCATTTCTAGAAAGTTAACTTTCTTCCTCAACAGTCTCTAGAATTTTACCTACAACCATTGGCTCAACTCAATTTATATCAGAACCATTTTGAGAGTTGGAGAAACTAAAGTTTGGGAGGGGTTCCCTCCCCTAGAGTTTCTAACTGAGGCCTGAGGATTTGCATTTTAATAAAATGCTAATGCTACTGGTGGTAGAACCTCAGCTCCAGACATTCATTCTACTCTCAAGTGGATTACAAAGTCTTATCTTCCCTCTCTCTGGAAAAGGATAACCTATTAGTTTAGTGTGTGTGTGTGTGTGTGTGTGTGTATCAATATGCATCAATATGTATTTTAACTGTATACGTGTGTATTTTATATATACATATAAAATCACTTACTTTACCAAGATCATTAATCACTGCTAAACTTAATTTCCCAAACTATCATGAACATTTTATAAGAAATATTCAAGGATTTAATTTTCACTCATTTAAAATTAGTCAGTTTTGAAAGCATTGAATTAAAAATTAATTTTAAACTATAAACATTAGCTATTAAGTTATTAAATATAGGAATCTATTGACATTTCTTAAGAAAACAAACTCAAGCCCTTCAGAATATACTGAAATGATATCCTAATTATAACTAAAGTTAGCGTAAGAATTGACATACTAGTTATGTATATATACATCTGTATGAACACACACACACACACACACACACACACACATATATAGATATCTCATAGTAAGTTTCCACAGAGGTTCTAAGGGCCATATATTTATTGTTATAGTTCAGTTTTGCAACTACCTCCTCTCTCCCTCCCAAGTGCAAACTGGTAGGAAGGTTTGGCAATACAAGTAAGTTATTCCACCGTTTTCTAAAAGAGTAACGATGCTAAGGAAAAGTAATGATGTCAGTATCTTTCCATGGTCCATTAATAAAACACATACTGGTTTTTCTCTAATCACCAACAGAATTAGAACTTCATTTAGAAAGTAAGTGTTTTAAAATACAATTGCTTTAAGGTAAACATTCCAGACTTACTCTATTAGTGGTGCTCCATATAGAACAAAAATTACATGAAAGATGAAACAAGACAAAAGGAAGTAGATACAGCACTTCAAAAACCTGGTTACCTAAAAAGAAATGAATAATTCAAAGACTCAAGAGAACATCTAAAGAGCAGCAAATGCTTTGATTTTATCTACAAATACAACTTATTTCCATTATGTATGATGCAGTTGAACCGCTCTTTGGATTTACGTATCCTGAGGTCAGATCACATGTCCTGTGCGGTCAGATGCACAGCCCTCAATACAGCCCTATAAGAAAAGACTGAAAGGCAAATATCAGGCCCCAAATTCCACACACTAAACACTAGAGTCAGAAAGTATTTCTGTTTCTATTGAATGTATTCACCTATGTCATTAATCAGTATTTGTGAAATATTTACCAATGATAGTGCTAGGATAAAAAAATAGTCCTTACTGTGTGATGATACATGAAATTTTTACAGAAAACAATGAGTACAATAAATTTTTCATTTACAAACAAAACTAAGAGAAGTGCACCAAAAAACGCACAATACCAAATAATTCCTCAAATCACATTCATGTTGCATGATCCATATGAAAAAAGCCTACATGTATATACACCATTAAGGAACCTACCTGATCTTAAATCATCAGTTTGAGACCTAATTATAAAAACACATTGAGCCTTTTAATCATAGGGCAGTGGTCAAGTTCTAAATGAACTAGTAGAGAGCAAAACACAGTACTGAAAAATGTTAATGAGGGCTTATTGATTTAAAATAATAGTTAAGTGTAACACTATAACATTACAGAAATAGATTCAAATATCTGAAAACTTTAATTTCTGTTTAGTCAAGGAAAGCCACAATTAAATAAGAGCTACCAGAGACTTGCTTTGAATTTCTGAAGAAATCCATAAAGCACCTGTCACAAATGCAAAAAATAAATGAAACAACTGAAATGTCTTATAAAGTAATTTTCAAAGATACTATTGCTCCATGTCTTTATCTGTGATGGTGATATAAAACATGATTATATAGAGAAACAATGCTCTATCCACTGAAGATATCCTAATTCCACAATTAATGCACAGCAAGGATCTATCTAACATTGTGGGCAGCATTCCAGCAAGAGGCTACTGATTTGAAAAAATAAAAATTGGTTCTTTTTACTGACTGTAAATAAATCAAAGAATACTCGACTAATCATTCTTCTATTAAAAGAAATACTGTCTTCATTTTAAAATCAGTTATCAAGAAATAAGCCTTACCTTGTACGATAATGAACTTCTTTTAGAGGATGCATTTGGTTTCACTACTAAATATAAAACTAGATTGATGGCAGTTACAAAAACAGAACAGATGCACAACCATGTCAAGTGTGTTTCCAATATTGAGAAGTTCTCCAAGAAGAATGACGGAATGAAGATGCTTAGGATAATTGAAAATATGCATAAAAGATGGGTATACAGTAGTCTCTTGATATCAGTATCTTTCATGATGTTTTCTTGAGTGGCTATCTAATGAAAAACAAATTAAGAAAAGAAAAGCATATGCAATAATGACTTTTTCCATTGTCCTAATTGCTCCCATGCCTAAGCCATGAACCAAAGTCAGTTTTCTATGGACAATAACAAATTTGTTTCAGAATATAGGAAGACGCACATTTGTAAATGTACATGTAGACTAATAAGGTACAAAAAGCTCTGAGCCCAAAGAGAACAAATCTACTCATTTCTTAAACATTTTTGACTCTTTTCTACAAAAAGGTGATGTGCTAGGACCAAGTAAGTGATTTTCTTTTCTTTTTTTTTTTTATTTTTGCCACAATCACAAAGGCAAAAACATTGTCGGAAACATAACCTTTACATTCTAATTAAATTGCAGATGTTTTTAACAGTGTGTGGCTAATATTACAATAGATCACATCTCCTAGCAAATGCCAAGTGACACCAAGGCATACTGGAGTATTTATATGGCAACCCGTATACTCAAGGGAATTCAAAAAACATTATGCTAAACTAAGGGATTTCAGCGTTCCAAAAATACTAAAATGACAATGTTTATTATAGGTGCTAGATTCCAATCAAAAGTAGAGGATGAATAGGAGAGAAAAATTTCCTTTCTCTCTCTATAAAATACTGATATGTATGTATACATATATAATATATAACTACCTAACAGAAAACTTACACACATATCATTGACAAATATTAAGAACCTTATTATTTTAAAGTAATACTCCACATTACTGTGGTGGCTAATCCAGAAAAAAAAAAAATGTTATATACATGTTCAGAGCAGACATCCAACTAGGCCTTATCCTAATAGCTCTCATTTAATTCACGCTGTAATTTTCAAAGGCAAATACGTTACTGATAAGGAAACAGGTTAGGGCAAGTCCAAGGTTCCAAACTCCCAAATGCAAAAATTACTCCTATTTCTAGGCTCTGGGATATAAAAGTATGCACTAGGGGTTGAGAAGAGAATGAATGTCAGGAAGGGAGAAATGAAATGTTTTTCACGGGTCCTATCCTCAGTGGACTGAGGATATCCTCGCTCCCCTCAGGGTAGTGAGGCAGTGAATTCATTCTCAACAGACACCCCTTCCTACATTTTTCTGGACCACCCTCAGAACCCCAACTGATGCGAGCAGATCTGGATCTGATACAGGGAGCAGCACCCAAATGTTGGCTGAACAAATGAATGAACGAGAGAGAGAGAGAGAGAGAGAGAGAGAGAGAGAGAGAGAGAGAGAGAGAGAGAGAGAGGTCAGGTGTTTGCCCTTACTGAGAAACAGGGACTGTTAGGCCCTGGCATGCCCACGAGGTTGCCCGTCAAGTGCCCCTTCCTTGGCCACCGCCCAGGTGTTCGTCGTCTGACCTGGCCCAGAGCCACTGGCATTGCAGTGGGAGAGAAGACCCTTCGGGGCGGCTCCCACAGGCGCCTTCGGGGAACTGTGGGACCTTGATCGGCAACCCAAGCCCAAACTGGGTTGCTCGAGATTTGCCCAAGCCGCAGCCAGCGAGAACGTAAGCAGCGAGCTGAGAGGTATGATCAAAGCGCACAGGTGCGCAGGCCAGGACAGAGGGGAGGGCAGACTCAGAGAGTCCGAGCCGCGAGAGGCTGGGTCCATCAGGGCAGCCCTTGGGTCACGCCGGAAGGCAGGCGCTCGCGCGGCCGGCGGGCGCGGGCGGGCCGGGGTCACAGAACCTCGCGGCCCCTGGTGGTTGTTCCCCTCGGAGGCGAGCGCTCGGGGGCTCCGCTGGGCTTACCTAACTCTCCCGCCCGCGGAACGGAAGGGAGGGGTACCACCTCCCACCATCAGGTGCGACTCGCCGCCCTGATCCTCGCGCAGGCGCGGGCCGAGGGGGAGGAGCCTCAAGGCCTTGCAGCCAATCGTAGAGGTGAGGGGGCGGGCAAAGGAAGAAGCCCCGCCTTCCCCGTTGTATTTATTCCTCCCGCCGCTTCCCAGGTGTGGGGTAGGCGGGGCGGAGGGCGGGAGGCCGGAAGTGGATTGTCGTAACCCGGAAGGGGAGTCCTGCCCTGCATGGAGTGTTGATGTTTTCTAGCTGCTGCTGCTGCGTCCGCGGCTGAGGGAACCGTCGGGGGAGGATGGTGTGCGAAAAGTGTGAGTGAAGGGGCCGGTTCTGCGGGATAAGGAGACAAGGAAAACCTAACTGGAGTTTGCTGGGAACTTTGCTTTCTTTGTATTTCCTTCGGCCATAGATTCTATCCCTTGTCCTGCTACTCAGCCCTTTGACCAGCCACATAGTCTTTTATGGTTTGCGTTCTGCATAGTCTCAGTTTTTGCACCGCCTTATTTACTTTGCCTTCTCCCAACCCCGGATCTCATCCCATACAGCTTCTTCCCTGGCTTCCTCTGCTCACAGACCTTCAGGGTTGGAATGGATCTTAAAAGTCACTTCCACAGTTAACTACAGTACCTAGAGTTGCCAGTACACCAAATAATAAGACCGGAAGCCCCATTAGATGTCAATTTCAGGTAAACAACGAATATTTTCTTAATATAAACATGTCCCGTGCATCTTCTGTTTGCTGCTTCTTACTACTGTAAATGGTTTGTCCCAAAACACTTTCAGAGCATTTACTAAAAAAAATTCATTGTTTATCTGAAACAAATTTAATTGAGCAGCCTGTATTTTATCCAGCAACCCTAAGTGAGTATCCCTTCCGGTGACTTACAGGCTATTTGCGTGAATACCTACAGTATGGCAGCAGAAGGGTGGGACACTCACCACCTTCGAAGGGGTCTGTGCAGACTTCAGCGACTTTTGGAAAGTTTTTTCTTCCTATAGTTGCCATCCGTTCTAACGGAAACCCTTGAGATTTCTAGAAAATAAGTTAGAATTTGTTTAACCTCACAAAATGTTTATATGTTTAAAAATAGCTGTCATATCCCCAAATCTTTTTTCCTCAGGGTAGACAAATGTCAGTATCTTCTTATCCTGATTACTATCTAATTAACATAATTCATTTTGTTTTATCCCTCTAGTAGATCAAACTAACTAAGATGCCCATGGGTTACAGTGGGTAGTAGAATTACCATAGATGAGTTACTTAGTATTTCTTGGCCCCAGTTTTCTCATTTAAAAATGAGAATAGGGGCCTCCCCGGTGGCGCAGCGGTTGAGCGCTGGGTTGCGAAGCTGTCCGCGGCCTCTGCGGTGCCGGTTCGATCCCAGGCTGCTCCCCGGCCACCAGAGGAGGGTCCCACATGGCGCGTAGACCTCTCCTGCCGCCCGCTGCTCCCCTCAGCAGTGTACTTCGTCAGTCTTCCTGCTCTGCTCTCCCCTCTGGCTCTGGTGAATTCTCTCGCCCTCCCGCGCTTCTGACTGTACCCAGTGCATGTATAAACAAAAAAACAAACGAACAAATAAATAAAACATGCCTCTATAAAAAAAAATTAAAATAAAATAAAATAAAATAAAAATAAAAATGAGAATAATACACAATTTGTGAGAATTAAGCGAGATACAGTAGATAAAGGCTGGTATAAAAATGCCTTGGTGTATCTCATAAATGGGTAATTTCTCTCATAACCCCCAATATGTGGCATTCAGCATTAAACTCAATGTGCAGAGTATAATTTTGTATTGTATTGTATTTGGAGCCTGGTATTCATGACCACACTTCATCATAAGGCCTCAGCCTATCTTTCGCACTGCGTTTTCACTAATCCTTACTCTTTTCACACATAAACGCCAAACCAAAACATTCTGCCTGCCCAGGTATACCCTGAGCTTTCCATGCATTTCCACTGTTTCCTTTATTTAGTTTGCCTTATCTTCTTTCTTCACAGTCCCACTACTTCATATCCAAGCCCTCCCTATTGCCACAAAGCTTTCTTGGATTTCCCTAGCCAGGGTTATTTCTTCCTCCTTCAAAGGTTATTTTTTTTCTCCTGGCACTTTAGCTCTCAACTTATTGTTGCTCTAAATTATTTTTCTTACTATTTTCTAGCTTTTTGAATGCTTCTAGTTGAGTGCTTAACTTTTTTTTTTTTTCCCTCTTTGAGCCCTTTGAGAATCTGGCGGAAGTTATAGACTCTTTTCAGGAAAAAAAAATTTGATGTATTAAAGGTTTGTGTACAGTTTGCTCTTTACATATTTTTTAAGGTCCTCCCATGAAACCCAGATTCAGGACTGCTAGAAAAATCAGTATGCTACAAGCTCCTTGAAATCTGTAACTTCTTCTAATTTACCTTTTCTCTGTACTCTGTGCAGTATCTGTTATACATTATAGATACTTAGTAGATATTTAAGGAATGAACAGATTTAGCATATTGATTTAAAGTATACATGTACCGTTGAAGTGTAGTATAAGCCATACTATTATCCCATACATTTTACTGAGTCAGTTATCCATTCCTAACAGTTAATGTCTTCCATCTCAGTTCACTGACTTTGGCTCCAACACTAATAGGCTTCTACTAGAATATGATTGGTGTTAGATCCCATTGTGAACTTTTAAGCACAATGTAGTGATTCTAGTAGAGAATAAATACTAATTCCCCTCAAACTATCTCGTTACAACAGGTGAAAAGAAACTTGGTACCGTTATCACACCAGATACATGGAAAGACGGTGCAAGGAATACCACAGGTATTTTTCCTTTTAGAAGATAGAATCAGATACTTCCGGTGAATAATGTGTTCATTTTAACCCTATTTGTAAAATGAAAATTGTTAGGTATACAAAATATTTCTTCTATTGAATATTGAAAAAATACTGGCTCCCTCAACACTTTAATATCTTGTTTAGTTCTTTCATTTACATGTTGGGGTTCCTAATCTGGTAGGCAGGTTATAGAAAATTAATTAAATGATTTTCATACACGGAGGATATCATAGTAATTGAATTGATTCAGTTTAATTATAGACTGTATTTAATTGCCCTTCTCCTCATTTGATTTTTATATTTTTAAGGAAATCATTTAACTGCTTTCACCATTATGCTTGTTAAATACTGTGATGATGTTTTCAAAGGAAAGGAAAAGAAACACTGCCATTGTATTTGAGGTCTATGGCATCCAAGTAATGGCTTTTAGATTTTGCAGTGGATATAGTGTAGATCAATTCCTACAGTACTACTTTGAGTCTGAGAAATAAAATGATTAACATCTTATACAATTTTTTATTGTTTTCCTAACAATAGTTTTTTAAGCAGTTATCTTAATCTGGGTATTAAATTTTTTGAAAATTTTCATATAGGCTTCCTATTGGCAAAGGGTCAAAAAATGAACTTCTAAACTAATAGTTTAATATTATAAGTATATATGTTAATTCACTAAAATATACGTATATTTCAATATAGAAAGCGGTGGAAGAAAACTGAATGAAAATAAAGCTTTGACTTCCAAAAAAGCAAGGTAGGTATAGGAACATTCATCGAGTAGAGTTATAAATTTCCTCTCTTTTTAAATATTAAGTCTACTGAGTGAATTTGGTGTGTTTAATTCTATTGTGATAAAATAGAGTTAGGTGGTTCCTAGCATGCAAACTAAGCTACTTGTTATAACCTGCTGTTTTGTTCTATTTCTCCTCCTTGTATCAACTGGTATGAAGATATTAATGCTAATGTGTTCTTATAAACAAGAAAATATTTCTTCTGGTTCTTAATTATCCTACAAATCAGAGGCAATGGAAAAATGTAGAAAAAAGATAAACTCTGGAGTCAGACCTAAATTTGAATCTAAATTCTGTCTCTGTCTAGCTCTGTAACCTTAAGCAGGTTAAGCCAGTTTATTGACTTTTCTGAAGTTTTACTTTTTCATCTGAGAATAGGAATAAAAATGTCTCCCACCTTAAAAACATTTAACATGATGCTTTACTGTACTCAATCTTAAAAATTCCATATGTTCATCCAGATGTCACATTTCCTTTCTTCCCTACACAGCAAAAGTTTGAAAAGACTTATCTAGATAATTTCTCGGGGCCTCCCCGGTGGCGCAGCGGGTGAAGCTGTCCGTAGCCTTTGCAGTGCGGGTTCGATTCCTGGCCAGCCAGGGAGATTCCCACATGGTGTGGCAGACCTCTCCTGTCACTCCCACTGCTCTCCTCAGCAGTGCTTTTGGTGTATCTGCCTGTTCTGCTCCCCACTCAGTCTCTGGTGGATCCTCTCACCCTCCCGCACCTCTGGCCTGTACCCCACCTATTGTATAAAATTTAAAAAAAAATCTTAATTTCTCACTGTCCTCTCCTTCAGTTCCATTTACCCCTAAGGCCACTATAGCTCTCTTTTTTGCAACCGTTTATTCTCTTGGTTCTAGGACACCACACTCTCCTTCCAACTTACTGGCTATTCCTTCTCAATCAAGTTCACCTCTAGACTCAATCATAGGCTGTTTTTTTTTCCTATTGATAAATTTATAATCTTTTCTCCAAGGGCTTTCATCCAGTGGCTTTAAATTCAAATTGTATGTGAATGAGGATGAATATTTCCAGTCCTGCCTTCTCTGAGTTCCAAACATTTATCCATTTTGCTATTGAACTTACCCAGCTTATTATCTACCAGTCACCCTTTTTCCTTCAGTCTTATAATCCTAGCTTTCTCATCTTTGCACCACTGTCTAGAACAGTTGTACAAGCCTAGAAACTAGAATTCCTTACTGATGCCTCTCTGATTCCCTTGCTTTCCATAACCATCAGCAAGTTCTTCAGCTCTTCTACCAAAATACAACCCAAATCCACCTGTTTTTGTACATCTCACTGTTATTACCCTGTTTTAAACCACTGTTATTTTTACTTGGGCATTGTATTACTTTCTGTCTCCTTGCTTCCTCTCTAGTTCCCTGCAATTCAGTGTCACGGTAACCAGAGTTGTCCTTTGCTCAAAACCCTTTATTAGTGTCATTTTTCATATAGAATAAAATACAATTCTATTGTATTATACACTTTTGTTTTCTTTAAAACATCTCTAGATTTGATCCATATGGAAAGAATAAGTTCTCCACTTGCAGAATTTGTAAAAGTTCTGTGCACCAACCAGGTTCTCATTACTGCCAGGGCTGTGCCTACAAAAAGGGTAAGTTTAATGCCATTTTCCGGTTTATATCAATTTACTTCATTTGGTACTGATTTGGATAACAGAAAAGGAGTTACCTTTTACTAGTCAAATGCTCTTTTTTCCTTAGGCAAAATAAAATTTAGAATTTATTCATAGTTATGAGTTTATATTTTCTTTTTCTTTTTTTCTGATGTTGCTAAATTGTTTTAATCTTCCAGAGTGACTAAATTAAACCAAATCATAGGTATTTGATTGGAAATATTAGTTGGTATTAAGATTTAGTTGTTCACGTTTCTTTTGTTTTAGGTATCTGTGCGATGTGTGGAAAAAAGGTTTTGGATACCAAAAACTACAAGCAAACCTCTGTTTAGTTGTATGGATGACGTTTCTGACTTTCTGTATGATTTTACTTTCTGCTTTGAACTTTCAAGAATAATATAAATGTTAAAGTTATAGAAAAACGTACTTTCAGACAGTTAAGTTTAAACCAGGGAAGTTGATTGGTATTCATTCTTTTGCTCTCCACAAGTTCTGAATCATAACCAGTAGAACTAGTCTTTTGCTTTATCTTGTTTTCCTTAGAAGCATTTTATGAACTGGAAGACATGGTAAATATAATGAAAAATTTTTTTTCTCAGTTCTGTATGTACTTTTTATTTAACATTAGTCATGTAATTGTTATCCTCTACCTCTATTTAAAGCTATTGCAAAAGTGAGGAGATTATTCATACTTTACTCAGAACCTGTCAACCAGATTTATAATTCTTCCCTATCCCCTTGTTGATTATGCTGTTCTTAGAAACACTTCTTCCTTATTAGTTGCAGTTTCCAGGGTATTTAAATATCTGAGGCTATTTTTGCTTAATAGTTCCCTAGTAATTAGCCCAAATTAAACACAAGTTGTATTTATGACTTTTTAAATTTGTTCTTGAAGCCAAAATGCAAATACTTTTCTTATTGACATCAAGAATAGAAGGGACACCCCACTTATGTCCAAATGAATACAATGGGCTTCAGAAAAACACACTTCAGAAAAGTTCCACTCTTGTGGAATTCAAACTGTCCTGAAGTCAGAGAAAAAGTGTTTATCCGTGATGAATTGTCACTCTTTGAAGCAAAAACTAAACTTTTTTTCTAACCTCCTCCTCTCCCCTTCTCCACCCGAAAAGAAATAAATAGAACAAAAGAAAACATTTTGACTCGTTTATAAAATGTATATAGATATGTGTCAGCTTAGAGGGTTCAAACAAAAATTTTGCTTATGTTTTGTTTATGCTTATACTGCTTTCAGAGATTCAGGACTACTGCTTTTGAAATCTGCAGCCTACTATGGAAGACCAAAAATGTATTTCATATTGTCAAGTGCAGTATGTATAAATACATATCACTATAAAAATGTGTAGAATAGATAACATGATATATTGTGTTTTTTATTCATTTCAAAATTACTCTGGAAAGTAGTGTGTTAACTTTTATTTATCTGTTAATTTTTTTGAAAGTGTTTTTCTAGGATATGTTGTTATTCCAGAAAGATCACAAAGGTAATGCAAAATATAATAAATAGAAATAGTACTGAGGTCAGGAAGTACCTTCTCATGCTTTAATGAAATTGGGACTTTTCTTTTTAAAATTTACTTATTTATTTATACAAGAACTGGGGTACAGGCCAGATGCGTGGGAGGGTGAGAGGATTCACCAGAGACAGAGCGGCAAACAGAACAGGCAGACTGACGAAATACACTACTAAGGGGAGCAGCAGGCAAGACAGGAAAGGTCTGCTTCGCCATGTGGGACTCTCACTTGCCAGCCGGGGTCGAACCGGCGCTGCAGAGGCTGTGGACAGCTTCACAGCGCTGCACTCAACCACCTGCGCCACCAGGGGAGGCCCGAAATTGGGACTTTTAATTAAAATCAATAACTCTTTCCAGCGCCATCCATGTTGCTGCAAATTGCATGTGTTTATCTTTTTTGAATGCTGAGTAATATTCCATGGTATATATGTACCACATCTTCTTGATCCAGTCATCTATTTTTGGGCATTTGGGTTGTTTCCAAAGCTTAGCTATTGTAAACAGTGCTGCTATAAACATAGGGGTGCAGGTGTTCTTTGGAATTGATGTTTCTGTGTCCTTTGGGTAAATACCTAGGAGTGGAATTGCTGGATCATATGGAAGCTCTATGTTTAGTAGGTCCAGAAATCTCCACACAGCTCTCCACAGTGGTTGGACCAGTTTGCACTCCCACCAACAGTGCAGAAGAGTTCCTTTTTCTCCACACCCTCGCCAACATTTGTTGTTGCTAGTTTTTTTCATATGTGCCATTCTCACTGGTGTAAGATGGTATCTCATGGTAGTTTTGATTTGCATTTCCCTGATGACAAGTGATGTTGAACATTTTTTCATATGCCTGTTGGCCATTTGCATTTCCTCTTCAGAGAAGTTTCTTTTTAGCTCTTCTGCCCATTTTTTGACTGGATAATTTTCTTTGTTGTTGTTGAGTCTCATCAGCTCTTTGCAGATTTTTGTGATCAGTCCTTTATCATTAGTGTTGGGTGCAAAAATGTTCTCCCAGTTGGTGGGGTTTCTCTTTGTTTTTGTTTTTGTCTCTTTTGCTGTGCAGAAGCTCTTTAATTTGATGTAGTCCCAGCTGTTTATCTCAGCGAAATAAGCCAGAAAGAAAAAGAAAAATACCGGATGGTCTCACTCATAGCAGGAATCTAGAAAACTTAAATAAGGGACCAGGAAAATGAATAACTATAAGAAAGTGAAAATCAAAATCAACAAAAAACTATGAACCAGAGACACTTTTAGGGGGGCGGGGGCGGGAGGGGAGGGATTGGGGTCAGAATGGGGGGGGCTGCAATTTTATGGGGAATATAAAAATAAAATTTATTATTTAAAAATAAATAAATAAATAAAGTATAGCAGTTGGCCAGTAAAAAAAAAAAATCAATAACTCTTGTTAGACCATGGCCCAGATTCATCAATAGTTGGATTGGTAAAACTTTGGGTGAAGTACATTTCTTAGGTATCAAACTCATATTTCATGTTCATGCCTTGGGTAGCCTCTTTCCATAAATGATCCTGTGGCCAGACTCAGGTTCTGCTATGAAGATTTTTGTTATTATTAAACCATAGAACAGAATATACATATACATCTTCAAAGTTTATTGGTTATTGAGGTTATTGTTCAAATAATAATTATGCCTGCCATAAATTGAAGTTATTAGATCAGAAGGAAAAATCTTAAAACATGAACATAATTATTTTTAAAAGAAGCCATAAAAACAGAAACTAATTTTAGGGTGACAAAATTAATGCCAAGCACAGATTTTATCAAAGTAAACGTAAAAGTGGTAAAATGGGGCCTCCCTGGTGGCGCAAGGGGTTAAGCACCACACTATGAAGCAATCCACAGCCTCTGCGGCATGAGTTTGATCCCTGGCTGGCCAGGGAGCAACCCATGTGGTGAAGCAGACCTCTCCTGTCTCACCCGCTGCTACCCTCAGCAGTGTATTTCAATAGATCTGCCTATTCTCCTCTCTACTCTGTCTCTGGTAAATCCTCTCACCTGCCTGCATCTCTGGCCTGAACCCAGCTCTTGTATGTACGGGATCCAACATATGACTCTTTAATCAGGAAAAGTTCTTTTGTCTTTGTTTTTTATAATAATAATATATCTGAAAAATACAGGACAGTTAAAATATAGAATACCCCTAATTTGAGATTTTTCAAGTGTGTCTTCATACTTAAATTTGGGCTGAAATGCTGTGAGGGATGTGTCCTCCCAGTGTTACATCCAGACTCACACAATGTCCCTTTGCCCATTTTTAGTGATGGTAATTTTAACCACTTGGATTAAGATGTCGTCCAGTTTTTCTACTGTATAGTTACCATTTTTCCTTTTGCAATTAGTGGATAATTTGTGGGGAGAAAATTTGAGGGCATGTTGATGTTGTATTCCTCATCAAACCTGCCCCTCCTGCATTTAGCATCACTTGGTGACTCTTGTCTGAATAAATTTACACTAAGATGTTTATAAAGTTGTGATATTCTAATTCCATTATTCTTTCTGTAATGCCATCATTTGTTAGTTGTCATTTTACTCTAAGAAAGAGGTTTCTCTATATTATTAACATAAAATATAGGCTTTTTTTTGTGATCATTTGAAAGGTGCAGGCCAGGATAACACATTATATTTAGTTGTCATGTCTTTAGTCTCTTTATCTAGAACAGTTCTTTAATCTGTCTTTCAAAAATATTAAGGTCATGAAACATAGGCCAGTTATTTCATAAAATGTTCATTAATTTCAGTTTTTTGCTGTTTCTTCATGATTAAATTGAGCGTGTGTGTTTTGAGCAGGAGTCTCATCAAAGTGATGCTGGGTCCTTGTCAGTTCCTCAGTGCTTGGTGTTGCTTGTCCCATTAATAGAATGTTAATTTTGATCTGTTATTTTAGGTAGTCTCTTCTGAATTTCTCCGCTATAAATATTCTATTTGTTTCTATTAAATTAGTAAGGATGTGGGGGGAGACTTTTGAGACTGTAAATATTCTTTTCTCAACATTCATACACTGATGCTAAACTGTTACTCTGATGATTGCCAAATGGTGATTTTCCAGTTCTGTCATTCCTTCTACATTTATTAGTTGGCTTTCTACTATAAGGAAAAGCTTTCTCTTTTTCTCGTAGTATTAGCTCATGAATTCCTGCTTTATTTAGTGTGTTACTCTCATTTGTTTTCATCTCAAATTATCCCAATTTTGGTTAGTGGAAGACCTTTCAAGTTAGCTCCTGGGTCTTTTTGACATATTCCTATTATTGCTTGAGGAATTCCTTGTGTTCCAAACAAAATATTCCAAATGTGTTTTTGTTTTTGCCTTGTTTAGCTCCCCCCTCCCCCCACTAGCACCTCAGACCTATAATCAGCCATTTCTCCAAAGAGTCCTAGTTTCTTTTAGAGGAAAATAATTACAAAAACTAAGATCCAGGCCTGCTTGGTTCTCATTACCTCTAGAATGCTTCAACAGAAAGAGCTAGGAAACATGTCTTAAAAAATCACAAGTTTTTTTTTTTTGTAAATTTCCAATTCTTATGCAACTCCACAAGGTTCTTCCTTACCTTACTCATTTGTAGAACTCTGAATTTCTTATATTGGTCATATATTTTGTAGTTAAAAATAATTTTAGTTAAAAAAAAAAAACCCTAGCTGAGTCCATGAGGGAATTATACCTGTGGATGTGATTCATTGGTACGTTATTACGGGAAAAAGGATTGGAAAATTCTTTGCATATGCTCCCTCCCACATATGGCAAATGAACAAATGGCACTAGATTTTTTTTTCAGCTAAGCTAATATTTATTGGACCTCTCTTTTTTCTCGTCCCTACCAGACTGCTGTTATTCATTCCAAGTTATTTACTTAAAAGCAAGAATTTAGTAAGCAATGAAATTAATGTAACATTGCAAAAGTAAGGTTTGCCAACAGCAATATTTAAATAGACTGGTTTAAAAGCAACAATTCTGGGGGGAAAAATAGGAATTAGATTTAAATGGCACTAGGAGAATGGGAATGAAGGAACAGATTTCTGAAAGGCCCAATAAAATAAGATTTGACAGAATAAAATGAGGGGAGAGTGAGGTGAGTCACAGTGGTTCTCATTTGCATGTGGTAATAGGACTCTCCACCAGATGGCAATGATGTTCTTTTTTTGTTTTTAATTTTCTATCATGCTAAAGGTTTTGTAGCTGTGGCAACTTAAATATTACATGGATGGATTTAAATTTCCAAAATTGTGAACAAGATAGCCAGAGAAACTTCCCATACAACAATAAAAATCCTGGAAAATATTTATTTACATAATATACATCTGCATATACATCTGTGAAATTTATATATGTAATTTAAAAATATGATTGTGATTAAACTAGCAAGAAAGTAATTATGATCCTCAGAGGCCCAAAACAGGAAAGGTACTAACTCAAAGGGTAAACTAATATCAAACACAGTGTTTGTTTTAAGGAATATCTACTTACCCCTCAGGGTCTAAAACCTACTTTTTAAAAGGCTATCACATGCATGGAAGAGAAGCTCCTGGACTTGAGCAATATGGGGAGGTTAGAGCAGAGTTTTGTGCCTAATGCATAAAGCCCTGCAAAGCAACAGTTTCAGTGGGTTTCCCCCCACATATGCATAGAGAAAGACAATGTGGATATTTCTGTATCTTAGCCTTAGTCCTGGATGTGACCAATGTGGGTTTATCTCAGGGATGTGAGATTGTCCAATATTAGAAAAATCTATTAGTTTAAAACTCATATTAACAAACTAATAAAAAATGCTCTGTGACCATTTTAAAAATAAAATTCAATCAACCATATGGAAAATTCTTAGTAAATTAGAATAGAAATCTTAAACCTAGTAAGAGGTAACATCAAAAAACCCACAGCAAACAGATCTAGTATTCAGTGCATTGCCTTTAAAGTCAAGATTGCCATTATCACTTCTGTTCAACATTGTACTGGTGTTCCTAGTCCATGCATTAAAACAAGACAAAAGGGGAAAAAAGATACAGAGGTAAGAAGGAAGAAACAAAACCAACATCATTTGCAGTATTCCAGTATTTTGCAGATACCAAAATCATCCACAGCAAATTATTAGGATGAATAAATTTAGTTTATCAGACTGACTTCAAAGACATCACTATATAAAAGCAAAATGCATTTCTAGCAGCAAAAACAGAAAAATTTAAAATATGCCATATATATTACTCAGCAATCAAAAAAAATAAACTCATGCAATTTGCAGCAACATGGATGGAGTTAGAAGGGCTCATGCTCCGCAAAATAAGCCAGAAAGAAAAAGAAAAATACCGTTTGGTATCACTCATAGCAGGAATTTAGAAAATCTAAATAAGAGACCAGGAAAAAGACTAA